GTTTGATCGATCTAGTCATCTGTATCAATATTTTCCTCAGAACAATATTGTCTATGAAACAGTCAAAACGTGTCAACCGCATGACACTTGTGCGTCAAAGCGAAACGTATATGTGTAATCTGGTGATATTGAAAGCTAATTATTAAAAGCTAATTATCAAGTATATACACGGCCAACTTTGATCGCTCAACAAGACAACAAGCACAAATCCCTACGAGAAATGATTCAATTCAGATCTATTACTGTTACGCACTGAGCAGTATAGTATATAGCCGTAGATGGTTTATCGGAGAACGTTGGGTATTAGCGTTTAGTTTGACTTAATCCGATCGGATCCGTGTGCTACGTTCCAAGGCAATGCCGGACGAATCAACCTAACCGCATCGCCCATACGCGCAATCTATTACAACACCCTTTTACCGAGAACCATCATTTCACCGTCATCAGATCAAAGCTCAATAACAAAAGCCGTATACAAAACAAGTAAACAATGGATTCAATGGTGAAAATTTCTCATTTTATTTTTATTATGATGATGATAGTTTGGAATGTATATTCTCTTCTGTGCATTTTTTTATTTTCCACTCAAATTCACTCAAACAATTTTGCCATCACAGGGTGAATTCGATTGTTAGGGAAAATAATTGAAATTTCAGACAAGCGTATTTCATATATTCGCTACGAACTTTAATGAAAAAGTAATAATAATTATTATTCACAGGTGTTGTTAATAAAATATCCACAATTTTTGAATGGTATTTTAAAATTTACAATCTCTTCTGCATTCATTCATTGATTCATTATTCTTTCTTTTCACTGGACAAATAATTTTACCTACAACAGGAAAATTCTGTTCTTTCAATTCAATTTTTTCATTTGAAAAATGAAAGTACATGAAAGCAAGTGGCAGTGGCATTCAGTGAGGAATCTCTTATTACAATTTTCACCATTTTTCCATAGAGAAAAGACTACAGAATAATAAAGTGAACATTTCGAATAAATGAGTACTAGATTGCAGCCAGTGGCTTTGAAGTCTATGTGGGCGCCAATCAGGGTAATTGAAGACAACTTTGTCACGCTCCAAACGTTTTTACGTTGATTGGTGTCAATGATGTGTAAAAGTGATGAAGCGCTGTTTGGGAATACATTGTGTTACGTAATAGCAACAGCTCAACCGGTCAATACACATTCAAATTCATTTGATGCTTCTGCACATCAGCTATCCTCCCATCAATTGAATACATGAATGATTTATTTTTTATTAAAGTCAAATTTTCTTTTCAATCCTCTGACGAGTGTGATGAAATTTTTCATGAAAAATTATTTGTGCTTGGTCAATTAAATGCTTGTCATCAATATTGACGGATAACATTTTTGCTGAAATTTCAAACAGTGGAGCATTAAAAAATGTCAACATTGAATGACGAAATTTATTGAGCCGAAAAAAGAATTTATCACACTGTGACTCGCTAGAGTGCCCAAAATCCACGAGAAATTGATAATTTTTCTTTTTTCAATTGCATTCTCAATGTTTCTCTCTGAGAAAGACGAGGCAGAGGCTGCTACCTCTTTTTTCTTTCTGTTTACCGTGGTCGCGGGGCGTGTGCGCTCGATAATACGCATGTTTGCGTTGGTCGCCCACGCCCTCTGGCACTCTCTCAAACAAACGTCAATGTACCAACACTGTTTCATTCCTTTCCGTCTACTCTACATCCGCATTAGATAATAAAAACATTACATAAATGGGGGAAAAAAAAAAAAAAAGAAAGAATAGGTAATAGAGTCTTTTGAATAATTTTTCATCAAGCCAGTCTGACTTTTTCATTGGCGAATCAATTTATTTCTTCTTTTTTCGTAAATATGCAAAATTTCACTGCTGATAGCGAAATCTAATGAGTTCAGAGTGTATGATGGGACTTGGCGCTGTAAACTCTCTCGCTCTTTTATGATGCAGTTGACGTCCCATCCCCTGGTGTACAGGTTCAACCTAGTAATATTGGAAGGAATATATAAAGTTTCATGTATGGGTGAACGATCCAATCCCACCGAGGTCAGGGTGAGCGAGAAAAACTTCGCCTACGTTGCAAGCCTATGTGGGATGATCCTCTCTTTTCACCTCTATCTACCTATCAATATTTGCTTTTTTCTACTTTTTTCCATGCTAAAAGTCGCGAAAAAAAATGGCGGATTTGTCACAAGCGCGTTGCTATTGTCCTTTGTGACATGTATACTACATACTATCTCGCTTTGTATTTTTTTTTATACGAAAAAATATTGCATTCTCCATCGAACATTTTCTCTAATTCTATTTTTACGAGGTGAAGCTGAATCTAGCGGAATATTAAGGGCAAATTTATGAGCTGTAGGAAAAGGAGAATTCCTCAAAATTTCCATTAGCTTGTTTCATACCTTAAAAATATTGATTTTCACGAGTTGAAAGCTACTGCATCAATTGATTCAGTATTAAACCGCGATTATATCCATTAGTTCCAGTGCATTAATAATTGCTAGTGACGATGTCGCTGAATAAATTTAAATACATTCAATTGTAATGTTTATGTGTAATGAATAGCCACGACTCGTGTGTATACAATGTTTGCTCTGTTCGACCGCTATCCATGGACGCACAATTTTATCTTTTGCCTATCTGACATAGTATTATGCTACTCACGTTTTCGCATCGTCTCGATCGGATGCATCGGTCGCGCCTTTTCACATGAATTTTCCTCATCTTTCTGTGCACACCAGCGCAAAGTCTCTACATATATCCATATCGAGGTTTAGGGAGAGTAAAATATTTACAACATGCACACCTCCTTTAAACAACAACTTTTTCAGTTGAATGGGGAGAGACAACTCCATTTGATAGTCAACTTTTCCTCCCCGTGGAGGAATGCTTTTATAACCACCCCCCTGTGTAATTTCAGAATCCCATAAATGTTTCATTCGGCAAGATAAATCTTCTCAAATACTCATATTTTTAACTTGCCTGTATTTACAATAGTGAATGGAATATTCTGCATTTTTCAAAGAAAACCGGACACGCCATAAAACTGTGGTATGCCGAGGGGGTTTAAGTATAGGAAACAGATCGTCCCAGGATGCTCCCCCGTCCGACCACACATCGCAGGACTAGACGCTCATAAATCGTTCCACGGAATTTTCCCGATTTATACATCCTTCGTGTGGCGGCTCCTACTACCACAGCTCCTAACGAATAGCATTTCTCCGCACTTTTTTTTAGCCCTTTGGAGTGGAAAAGGCTCAATGGATTACAGACCTCCTCCTGCCAGTAAATAATAGTGTCGAAAAGGATTGATCAACTTGTAGTGTGTAGGGCATCAGAGCCAAGTTGCAACTCACTGGCTAATAATTTATCATGTCTCCAGCAATTTGCGAATTGGTCAAAACCTAGCTTATTTCTCAAGTTTAGTGGCAAAACATTATTCAACGTTATGCTCTATTTTCTCCCTCTTCATTTTGAATATGAAGTGAGCTTGATTAATGTCAAACTACTCATTCCATGTGTAGGGAAATACTCGAGAATTTTAATTGAATTTTTAATTAACAATTACGAGGTGAAAGGTCATATAGCTATTACCGATAAATTGGCAACGTCGAAATCCAATAATTTGATGTGTGTTGTTACCATTAAAATTTTCCCTCTTCTTTTTTTTATTCATCATCTGGGCTCGCCGTCGGCTCCATTGATTCGTTGAAAATGCCTTGACGAGGATGTACTGTAATTCGTGATGGAAATTTCCATTTCCTTGTATTGGGTCAAACCTCAGGGCTCTGGGAACCTCTGTAAATCACACACAAGCCCCCCCCCCCCCACAACGGCTCTTCGTTGCTCTCCCTCTATTTCCTTTTCCCCTGTACCTTTTTCTTTCCCCAATACCTATTTTTCCTTCATTTTTATTTACTTCAACACACTCGTCCAGCTACTCCCAAGACTCTCTCCTTTTATTGGCTCCTTTCTCTCACTCTTTTTTTTTTCTCCTTTTCTTATTTTACTTCTCTCTGTTGTACCCCCCACCCCACTTGGTTTCTCTTCCTTCGTGTTACCCATTCAACTCTAACCCCCCCATGGGTGCAAAACCGAGGTATTCAGTCGCTCTCGCTGCTGCATCCCCCTACAGATGTGGAATTTTTACAGGAATCTCTTGGTATGGAAGTCCTGACGAGGGTTTTCTACACGGTTGCATTAAAGGTAGTACTCTCGTTGCCGCTTTAAAGGAGACATCATCATATTCCACATTCACGTGTATTTTAGGGGGAAAAAAAATTACTTCATTAAATGTTTTAATTCCGGCTTCTCTCACTCTCACATTTTATAAATGTTGAACGTTTAATTGTTTATGCATTGTTTATTGCATGTGTTAGTAATTCAAGGACGGATCAAGTTAATTTCCAGCGTAACATGCTTTTCATTGTGAAATATTATTCATTCGCTTCTGGGGTAGCGGATGGAAAATGTCTCTATGAAATTTTAAATTGATTGAGAATTCTCGGTGGAAGTAAAAATCCCAATGGAAATTGAATTTCAATTTCAATCGATGGAATCTTGAGGAATAGGAATTTTCAATTTCAGTGGGATAAAGGAATGTAACAATGGATTAAATTGGAAAACAAAAAAATCAGAAACACATAAATCACACACGTATTGTTTAATAATTGCCATATGTGATATACATTCCGGTGAAACTGCATGTTTTAATAACAATGGTTTTAAAAATTTCTCCTTGCCGGTTTTTTAATATTCGTCAAATAAAAATGCCGATGCAATTACGTTTGATGCGGTGTTACCATTTTAATCGAGAAAAAAAAAATACGCAACTATCGTACCAAATGGTTTCATAGATCTCCCAGTTAGATCATTTCCGTGGCACGTGACGGGAGTACAGACGTGTTATATATCTATTGTCTGCGAGAGGGGAATGGTTGAGGTGGAGATTAAAAATAAAATTGTAGAATTATTATCGGTTTATTAAACTCACCATGAACCATTGGATTTCTTTAATTCATTCAGTTCATTTCTCTCTCTGCATAAATGTTTTTACTCTTATTGTCATCAACATTTCACTGGCGGCACTCGAAAAACCGTGTAAATACTACATGATTCAAGGGAGTAATCTTTCGATATTCTCACTCGCTTCAGAGATACTCTGGTAGAAAGACAAAGTCTACAATAATAACACTTGCAACAGAGCAGAGCAGCTCTGTTCTTTGTCCCTTTGAGGTTATGTTCATACATCTGGCGTTGGTATACAACAGTCCCGCAGATTCATCATTTACCAAAACTGAAAGCCTAAATGATGGTATTACGATACAAGTCGAATGCCCAAGTCACTGTTGAAATCATTTTAAAAAAATCAATAACATCAGGAGGATTGAAAAAAAAATCACGCACAGTTTCCCGGGAATTTCCTCCTTTTTTCTCTTGTTGAATTTTCAAAACTCCAACGATCCACGTAAACCAGAAGAAGACTCAACCATGCTGGCTGCGCGACCGGCGTTGAACTACCGTAAGAAGAGTGAGAGAACATCGACACCGACAAGAGAGCGGGGGAGTCCGGTCCGTGGAGGAAGGAGACGGCCGGGACTGCCAGAGTTATCCCCTCTTCTTTCCCCTCGCTCTCCCCTCCACCAGTGAGTGACTCCCAAACACACATGGTATCGTCGTCACAGTGTGCACTTTCCCATCTCTCTCCCGTCAGTGTTTATCTTCCGGTTTTCTCTCCTCCTTGCGCAAGCCATGCCATGAAAATTCTCGCCAACACTACATCCTGAAAGCCGGCGCGGCGCCCACGACAAACCAGCAGAACGGCAGAACAGAACAGCATCCCCACCATAGCCTCTGTCACAGAACACATTCACCAGCGCCACCAGCCACCAGCCACGGCCCACGATTGTACCGAGTAGAGGTGAGAGAGACGGATTATCAACATTCCAGGCGCATGCGTTTCAATATTATTCTGTTTTCTGTCTCACTTGTCAGTTGCTTTCGTTGGGTTTGGTTGCACCATCATGTGTGTGTATACTTCTGACACGCGGTCGCACCCAAAACGACTGTGATCGTCATATTGACGTTCGTTGCACTCTACTCGGAAAGAAGTGCCACTGGCGCCCTGAGGGTCACCAATTTTTTCATTTGCTGTCTGTCAAATGTATTTGCATAATGTTCATTATGACAAGCGTGAAAAAACAAAATCTATAACAACTCAATATAATAAGAAAGTTGAGGAAGGAACATAGCAAAATGATGGAAGGACTCATTGGAAAATGATGTTGAAAATCCCCCCCCCCCCACCCCGAGAAAAAAATACCTTTCCACTGAGGAAAAGAGGAAAAGGAGGACTCAGAGTACTTGGCAGATGTTGCTTGAATTTATAAGGCTACTGACAACTCAAGTTGCCACAACAAGACGATAAGTTTATCTGTCAAATTTGACTTAACGACACCAATCAAGACCCGCTTGCATCTTCAATTCTATACAATGAATTCCGATCGAATGAAAAAATGCAAATCAACTATTAATATTGAAACTCTCATGTATATTCATATTAAAATCCATATCTCGTCAATCAATTGAAACTATAATAACATCAATATGCAAATGCAATTCCGAGACTCGAGTTTATGTCAACTTGGAGCTTGAGTCTTGTTCCTCCTTTTCCATTCTCTGTCAGGCGAAATTAGTGGAAATTTGTGGGATGTGACTATTGGGAAAGTTGAAGGATGGATGTATCCGTATAGGTGCAAGCGCGGTGTATGTTGCCAAACCACTCCAAGGATTTGTCCAAACGCTGTCTCTCGGTGCGACAACTTTAGCGGCAGCGAGGGAGGAGGGCAAGTTTCCGTACCTATGGGAGAATACCCCTGCGGCAACTTAGTGGGCTCTCTCGTTAACTGAGTATACTATTAGTTATCAAAGTATGAGGTAAATTTTTCAAACTGATTGATTTAATTACCAGTTAAATGGAATTCATGTCTGGCCATAGAGATTAGTGTGTTTTAACTTGGAGGAGTTGAGTTGTGTGTTTAATGTGCCATGCACAAGTGGAAAGATGGAGAGTTTGAATTTTGTGTGGAAGAAAATTCCAACTTGACGTATAGTTCGGAGATTAACTAAATATTATTTCATTAATAATTTCATAAATTCCAATCGATTGAACCGACATTCAGATCTATTTTCTATAATATCTCTTGAGCTCGTCCGAAAATCAGATTGTACTGCAGTCGATATCTTGGTTGGAATATAAACGAGGATGGTTGAGTTGTAAATCAGTGCGAGTGTGGTACACGAGTTGGGGCCAAGGACTCCAAACAAAATCCATAAATTTCCGCTTTGCCGCGCCCGGTGGTTTCCGTCAAAACTTTTCCAAGTTCAAAAAAGTATATATGTATTGCATTTCCGGAGAGTTGGCTTGTGGTGCACTCTTTCGGGTTATCGCCGGTGTGAAAAAAGAGGAGGAAGCACATGAGTGAGGCTTGCAGCATAAATAATGCAGTGCACACCCTTGTCTTCTTTTTATTGGCATCTGGAGGGCTTGTGGTGCACAAAGGAGAAAGGAGACAGTCTCTCCTATCTATATATAGCTCAGAATTGCTGCAATTTTCAATATATTGAGGCATAAGTTGTGTTTATAAGCATTACTTTTACGCTCCTTTCAAAGTGACCATTTGAAATGTTTTTAAAGTCACTCTCTTCAAAAATAACTAATGAAAATTTAATTTTACAACAACTAATGAATGCATCATCCATTGGAGCCGGAAACTCTCATTAACAAGCATTTGGAAATGAATTTTGCCTAATAATTGCATACGTATGAAACGATGAGATGAGCACAAGCCACTGGCATTCAGAGAGCTTTCTCGATGCTCTGACGGTGCGGCTTTTGTAATTCAACTCCAAATTAACGCATCCTAATTTTCGTTCAATTCGCTGTCCGACGTGCTGGAAACGCGGCGGTGCCCGGGTATTCCTCGGTTGCAGTTTGTTAAAACGAGTTTCGATAAAGTTAAAGCGCTGTACACGCTCGGCTTCCCTTGGCGTCGTTTTCTCTCTCTCTCTCTCGCTCGCTCTCTATGAATCCGCCCATGACTCTCTTATGTACCCCTTTGCGCTTTCTTCTGTGACAGTACATTCAAACATTTAGATAACTTGTCTGGATGGCCACGAATTCGAGTGTATTCCGGAAGTGTGCAACTGCGATGTATTCGAATGTTTGTTCAGTTAAGCCACCCACCTTTATAAACGCAACACATTTCTCTTACAGTTGATTAACTTTAATTCCTGAATTATGAGTGAGGGTAACAACACCGTAAAAACTATTGTCTGAAATGACATTTTTTGACAAGTCTCTTTACTTGAGACAGATAAAATGTCTTAAATTTCAAGAAATTATGAAAATGTCTTGTGGAAAAGAAGATGATGCGAGGGAAAAAATTGATAATCTCATCCTATATAAAATTGTCGGAGCTAAAAAATTTTATGATTTATGAAAAACGTGCAGGAGATATGAAATTATCAATTTCCATTTGAATGAGTTTTCCGACATGGCTATGTTTTAACAGGGATATACATATATTTGATGGATTCAGCGATAAATTTAACCAACATTGGACAAAATCGTTGGAGTTGTTGTATATACATACGTGTCGTGGTTGAATCGTGATGCCTAGTAACGCTTCGCTGCGCTTTTCAAACCCCTCGTATACCCGTTCCACTCTTGCCCTTCTCCTCTCATTATTGGAGAAAAAACAAAAATTATTACTATTATTGCATCAGAATAGACGTAAGCACGCAGAGAGCCCGCAGTATACTATACTGCGCCCGTACGGTTCATTAGATTAATTCAGCGCAACGTAATATCATCACATAATAATATGAGGCCCTCACGCTCAGTCTCACCCAATTGTCCTCATGTCCCATCGTATTTTCCATATCTCTGTGGATCTGACTGCAGCACACAGATGCTCACAAACCTGTCAAACGTGCATCACCATTTCGAAACATTTTCGAGGGCGCTCGAGGGCGAATTTGGCGGCGGTATTGGGTCCAATCGGTGCACGGAGGAGGAGGAGGAGGAAGAGGAGAAAATGAAGGATGAAATGGTGGGGAGGAGGTGTGAGAAAATTGTTCCATTTTCATCACGTATCTGGAATCGGAGCTCGCTTTGAATCTATACTTTTTCACGCTCATCCGTTGCTATAATTTATGACTGGGGAAGCAGAGACCACCGACTCCAACTGGCTTCGATTGTAATCGGAGAGACCATCATAGTATTGAAAAAAAAAAACCCTATCCTCAGTTCAGTAGAGTGTAAATGCCCAAGGAGAAGATGGGAATTTTGATTTGATTCCAATTTTCGGGCATTTCAATATCAATGGAATAAGGAGAAGAAACTATGTTTGGGAAGACATATTAATGACATTTTAATAGATGCTGAAGAATGGTGCGAACTTTTTGGACAGGGACAGCCGGACTCTTGATTACAAGAGCACACATGTGGTTGCCGCATATACGCAACCGTATATCGAGATGATCATTGCCCAACGTAACTCCACACACAACGAGATATCCATGCAGTGACGGGGCATTAATGCGAGAGTTTGCTCCTGCGTTGATTCCTCCACCTCCACCTCAGGTATAAGCCAGGGTCCAACGTCACCTGTCCAGAAATGGACAGGAGACTCCTATAATCCTATAGTCCTATCCTCAACTCTAGATTCTGTGTTAACGGCGGTATCCCAAGCACGTACAGGCGATAATCTACGAGTCGATAACTTACTGGCCGAATTGCTCCTCTCAGAAGCCCCCGTCCGCTCAAATTGTCTCAGAGCCTCAACACCCCCGCATTAAGTACCAGTAACTAACCATCAGGTCCTCACCACTCTCTCCTTCAACACTGAGTCTATTAGAAACCTAGTCTGAGGTGATCGAAGCTGCGTATAATCTGTATAATATAGTAAACAGTTTCATTCGCGCGATCAATCATTCTCATGTCATTAACTATTCCGATTTGATTCATCAATCACTAATTGGATTATTAATTAAGGATGTTGGTGATGCAGTTGTTGATTTAGTCGTGTCGAGTGATGAAAATATACATGCACCAAATGCTCAAATGCTCAAATTTGAAAATCATTTAAGCCTCCACGGACTGGAAATAGATCAGGAACCGCCGCACAACAAAATACCGTAAACTAGAGCATCCATTAAATATATGTATACTTGAATCAATGAGAAAGAGAAAAAAATCTAGTTGGCAGAAATGACAGTTAGCCGATACGCTCCAAATGATGGACGAGGTGGTTCACTCCCAAGAGGGTTAAACAGGACCATCACAGTCGTTCATGAGTTGAACGTCAACTGCAGAAAAGATATTCATTATATTCAAATACTTCATTTTTTATTCTTCTTATAGCCGTCTTTCTATCCACAAACCTGTCGTAATGCCAAAGTTGTACTGGATATTTTCGAGAATGTATATACGTGAAACTTTTCCATGGTAGAAATTTTTTTCTCATACTCTCAAGCTCCACCTTTTTCCACACCAAAAACGATGCAGACGGCGTAACGGCAATTTCTTTCTGGACTTATGCTCTCGGTTCCGCGGCATACCAAATCTCTATTTTTCGCAGTATGAATGCATGAGATGTATTTCCATGCGTGTATACAAATGTGATGAACACTTTGCGCGCAATCTATATTTGTTTTTTATTTTATTTCTTCTATATAGTTTTCAAGGGTCTGATGGTCATTTTGCCATGTGAAAA